ACAGGGACTTTTCTCCTGCTTCGCCCACATACTATGCCTGCACCAGGCGCGGTTTGTCCATAGAGCACGGTCCTGCAGTACCGCCCAAAATGTTTAATATTCTATTACGTAAAGCACCCACAAACATAAAAAAAGAAGCAAGAAACAAGCACTAGCCAAATATAATATCAAAACAAGGTCCTCGCTGGCCCCGTAACTGTCATTTCTGTGTCTATATCGCCGTAAAACATCTACTATGCCATGCCAAAGTCTACACGCTTTATCTAAACATAATAGTAATAGGATATTCAACACTGGTAACCTGACCTATAAATCGCTCATTGGGATAACCCAAGAGATGACGACACTCGTAGCGAGTTTGGCTGTACATTAATATTAATAATAAGCCGGCACATCTCAAATGTGCTCCTACCAAACAGTGCCGATACATAGCCCACAGTAGGCAAATAAACGCGATAGACTGTACGCTATACAATGCCAAAAGTATGTGAGCCCGGAAATGTCTCTGTGACCGTGAACCTGAGGGAAGTGAACTTGACATACTTAAGTCACCGTCCTGTGGGTTGTGCCTTTGAAAGGTTTTGTAGTGGAGTGGTGAAAGTTATTACTGGAGTGTTCAGTTCTCACGATGAACGAATTTGATGTTTCGCTATCAAACAGATTTTTAAAGTTCTAGAAATCGAAGCGACAAGTAAAACGAATGAAAATAAAAGCAAGAGGTTTCCCTCACCAACCCAAAGATCCTAAAATTATACACCGTCTCATTTACTATGCCCTTGACAATCTTCAGCTTAATTGTGCACGCCCACTTTTTGACCCACGAGCCGAAGTCACACTCAGACAATATTTATAAATGTCAAATTTTGTTAACAATAATAATGTTTACCCTTAAGTTACAGCAGGGGCGGCTCGTGGGTCTAAAAAGTGGGCGTGCACAATTAAGCTATCTTAGGTTGAAGATAGTCAAGGGCACCGTAAATGAGGTGGTGTATAATTTTAGGATCTTTGGGTTGGTGAGGGAGAACGTTGTGATTCTATTTTCTTTCTTTTTACTTGTGGCTTTGACTTCTAGAACTTTGTTGGTTAGCTAAACGTCAATTTCATTCATCCTGCGTTAGAACTGAACACTCAAGTAACACCTTTCACCACTCCACTACAAAACCGTTCCAAAGCTCAACTCATAGGACGATGACTTAAGTATGTCACGTTCACCTCCCTCAGGTTCACGGTCACAGAGTCACTTAGAATAGCGGCAACACAATGAACCAATCACAATTCACTTGAGCACTCCGTTGGATTGCTCCGGGGCTCACATAATTTTGGCATAGAATAGTGCACAGTCCATCGCGCTATTTTTAGATTGCGTACTGTGGACTATGTTTCGGCACTATTCGGCAGGAGCACATTCATTTGAGATGTGCCGTCTTATTAATATTAATGTACCGCCAAACTCTCTACGAGTGTCGTCATCGCTTGGGCTATCCCAAAGACCGATTTATAGGTCAGGTTTCCACTGTTGAGTATCCTGCTATGTTAAGATACAGCACATGAATTTTGGCATGGCCTAGTAGATGTTTTACTACGCTTTAGGCACAGAAATGACTGCTACAGCGCCAGTGAGAAACGTGTTTTGATATAACATTTGGCTAGTGTTTGTTTCTGGTGTCTTTTATTTTATTATGGTAGGTGTTTACGTAATAGAATATTAAAACATTTTGGGTGGCACAGCACGACCGTGCTCTATAGACGAACCGCGCCTGAGTTGCCTACAGTAATAATCACCATGTAAGCATATTATGTCATAGTCGGTGGCATCGCGCTCGTATGACCGTATGCAGTTGCGAGCGTCGTAAAACCCTTTACTATAAAAAATATAGTCGGTGGCCAAGTGGTTAGGCTACAGGACTCGTAATCGTGAGGTTTCGGGTTGGGGGGTTCGAGCCGCGGGCCCGACGTTGTGTCCTTGGGAAAGGCACTTTACACGAATTTTCCTCACTTCACCCAGGTGGGAATGGGGGCCCGGCCATAGACAGCGAAAGATCTTGTCAGCATGTTAGTGTTTCAGCGCCTGTACATGGCTGCTGGCACTGTATTCTTCCTAGGAAATTGAGGTTGTTTCAGAATGCTCTCAGGTCTGCTGGGGTAATAGTATAGATTGTGAAGCGCATAGAGCTTGTTGTTGAGCGGGGATTTGCGCTATACAAATGCTATCTGTCTATCTATCTATCTATCTATCTATTATTATTATTATTATTATTATTATTATTATTATTATTATTATTATTATTATTATTATTATTACTATTACTAGATCTAGTAATAAAAGTACCCGTTCTACGAACGGAATAATAATGAAGAATTATTAGGAAAGTTAAGAAGAGGAAAAAGACTGAAAACAGGAAAGAAACAAAACACAAATATTTTATTTTGAATTTATCCATGTAGCAACCCCTCTTGCCTACATCTAGGGGTAAGACTTTCTTCTCCCTCTTCGAAGGCGTGGCATTTTCTCCTTAAGTCCCAGCTCAATCACTTTAAAAAAAAAGAGTTAGGCCTACATGCCAAATTGTTGCTTCCTAGAACCTAATCTAGATTCTAGATCTAGCCTAGATCTCGAAGGATTATAAAGACATAGGCCAATAATTGAAAGAAGGAGCCTTTGTCCATAGATAGATCTGAGTTTAGAAATTCACATTTTTAACAACCGGCAGGCGTCACAGATGGCCTAGATTTCTAGATCTATTCACAGTAGGAAAAAATCCACTTTCAAGAATACTTTCATGATTCTTGATCTCGATCTAGATTCACCTACTGCCTATTTCTAGACTCTAGATCTATTCACAGCAGGAAAAAATCCACGTTCAATACTTTCATCATTCTTGATCTCGATCTAAGATTCACATATAGATCTAGTTCTAGCCTAGGCTAGATTTAGATCTTAAAATCTATAATGCACGGCAAGAAAAATCCACTTTCAATATTCAATAGGTTATCGAATTATCACTGATCTAGATTCTACTTCCATTTCATAATTCTTCTTGATCTCGATTTAGATATAGATTCTAGATCTAGATCTATATTCTTGATCTCATCTAGACTCTGTGCACAAAATACACTCATCCTTCGGCGTGCGCGCTAAATCCACTGCAGGAAAAATCTACTTTCAATACTTTCATGATTGTTTATCTTGATCTAGATCTAGATATTAGACACATGCAACTACACGCAGGGCGTAAACCGGGCTACGATTGGCTGAACCTTTGACTTTGACCCATGAATACATTAAGTAGGCCTACGGTAGGCTACTCTTGGCTCTTTCGGCGACACCCTCTCTGTCACTCTCACCACCCTCCCTCTGCAGTGCTTTCTGGCCTCCTCTCTCTCTCCCTTTCTCTCCCTCTCTCTCCTTCTCTCT